TTTGCTTTTATTTAATTTTAATTAAACTTAAGTATTCATACTTACTATGTTAGAGCAAGCCTAAGGGTCTCAATGATAGTATTTTATAAAATCTTTATAACATCTATGAAGTATTATTGTCATTTTGCTGATAAAGAGGTTTAGACTTTCAGAGGTTGCCTAAGGTCACAAAATTCATAAGTAGCAGAGGTGGGATCAGAATGTAGATCATTTGACTTCAGAACAGGTGCTCTCAATCACTTCCCACAGAAAAACAGCCCAAAGAATACTCTGTCAGTAGATGAATTGTACTGGGCCAAGTATGAAGCTAAAACTGGCACACTTGGCTAGTTCTATTATGAGAGTGGTGTATCCTGTCATGGATGGCCTTGAGATGTGACGTAGGGGTCAGCATAGCTGTTAATTCTTGAAGAGAATTGAGGTATTACTGAGACCATGGCCAACACTGAAACATCTCCAACTGAGGGCTCATCCCGATGAAGTCCCCAATGAGCCCTGGCCCCAGGCTCTGTTCTCTTCTCCGGCAGGCCGTTTCCTTTTCCCTGGTGCCCCTCGCACCAGCTCCATGGCTCCAAAGGACACTGCTCAATGTTCGAGGACTCACAGAAGCTTGGAGTGCAATGGTCGTCATGTAGGCCAACCCTTAGATCACACAAGCACTGCAACTGGTTCCACTTAAGTTCATGGCCACAAATGTCAAGTGGGCTCGGATGTTCTCTGGCAATCTGGTAATGTATCTCGAATATACATGCTTTCTGGTGACTGCACACACTCAGCACCCTCTGTCCAGTCCTTTTCCTAGGCTGACGACATTCTGTAGCAGACTCATGCTGGCTCTTTGTTCCCCAGGACCTGAACCTGTCTGTAACCCCCCACTGTGTGGTTCCTGGTTAAAGGTAAAGAAAATAAAAGGGTCAGAGGGGTCAGTCTCTCACCCGTCCGCAGGAACTGGATTCAAGAATATATGACCTAGGGTTGGCCAGTCTGGGACTCCCAACAAGGACTCCGGCTTCTTAACTAGGGACACCAAGGCCCAGGGCTCTTTAGAGGTTATTCACAGTGGTGGTCATTGCAGAGGGGTCTGGCAGCCCCAGAGGAGGGGTTTCACCAGACTGTTCCAGTCTGTGCAAGTCCCGTGGCATATGAAGATGATTCTCCGATTTTTATTTATGTTTACTGAGTCACTGAGCTCCAAACTTGTACATTCAGCTGTTTACTTGATAGTTCCACTTAGATACATAACAGGCATCTCAAGTGTTACTGGACTAAACAAAAACTTTTCATCTTTTCACAAAATTTCTTACTTCTTGGTGGAGCTGAGGACAGGAGCCCAGAGTGTCTGAGCAGCACCCCTAGTCTCCTCTCCTCACCGCACCTCGCCTCCACGGTCTACCTGCCCTACTGCCTGCTTGTCCCCCAGAACATTTTCCGTCATGGCCACCTAGGCAAGTTCCCACTTGAATGACAGCATCAAGTGAGTGCACATGTCCCTGACTGAGGGTGATGAAGTCCAGGCTGTGTATATCTGGATCGATGGTACTGAAGGAGGACTTCATGCCATGTCAGGCCAGGACCCTGGACGGTGAGCCCGACTGCAAAGAAGTGTTGACCAAGGGGACTTTTGATGGCTTTAATACTTTACAGTATGAAGGCTCCAACAGTGACAAGGATCTTGTCCCTGCTGCCATGTTTTGGGAACCTTTCTACTAGGACCTCAGTAAGATGGTGTTCTGTGAAGCCTTCAAGTACAACTGAAAACCTGTAGAGACCAATTGAAGGAATGTCTGTAAACAGATAATGGACATGGTTTGGGATGGAGCAAGAATATACTTTTATGGGCACAGATGGACACCCTTTTGGTTGGCCTTCCAATGACTTCCCTGATCCCCAAGGTCTATAGTACTGTGGCCTGGGAGCACACAGAGCCTATGGCAAGGATATGGTGGAGGCTCACTACTGGGGCTGCTTATACACCATCATCAAGACTGTGGGGAAAATGCCAAGTTCATGCCTGCCCACTGGCAATTCCTGAGAGGAACCTGTGAAGGAACTGATGTGGGACATCATCTCTGGGTTGCTTATTTCATTCTGGTCTTGCACAGAGTGTGTAAACACTTTGGAGTGATAGCAACCTTTGATCCCAAGCCTATTCCTGAGAACCAGAATGGTGCAGGCTGCCATACCAACTTCAGTACCAAGACCGTGTGAGAGAACGGTCTGCAGAACATAGTCTGTCAAGAGGCTGAGCAAGCAGCACCAGCACTACATCCGACCGAGCCTGTGATCCCAAGGGGGGCTGGAACAAATGCTTGGGACCTAGCTGGATTCAATAAAACCTCTGACAATTTTCCTTCTGGCATGGTCAACTCTAACACTGGCATTGCATTCCCTGGGCTGTCAGCCAGGAGAAGAAGGGTTACTTTGAAGACTGGTACCCCTCTGCCAACTGTGACCCCTATGGGGTGACAGAAGTCCTCATCTGCATGTGTCTTCTCAATGACACTGGCGATGAGCCCTTCCAGTACAGAAACTAAGTAGACGGGACTTGCAGCCATCAAACCCCGTCTAATTAAGTCTTTATCCCCCTCCCACTCTTGCCCCCTCTCAATTGTCATAACAGCTATAACTCAAAGGGTGGGATATCAAGGTCTTTTTTTATTCTTCATGAAAAGAGAAACAACCTTTTCAATTCCTAAATATTTCTTTTGTTTTAAAGATTTTATTTATTTATTTATTTTTAGACAGAGGGGAAGGGAGGGAGAAAGAGAGGGAGAGAAACATCAATGTGTGGTTGCCTCTCATGTGCCTCATACTAGGGACCTGGCCTGCAACCCAGACATGTGCCCTGACTGGGAATTGAACTGGTGACCCTTTGGTTCACAGCCTGAGCTCAATCCACTGAGCTACACCAGCCAGGGCCCTAAATATTTCTTATCTTAGCCAAAGGCACCACCATCCACCCAGTTGCTTCAATCAAAACCTTAGGCGACATCCCTGATTTCTCTTTTCCTCCTAGTGTTCACAGCCAATGGGATGTGAGTCCTGTCGACTCTACCTTCAAAGAACAGTGTCTTCATTTAATGCTGTCTATAGATTCTGCAACTTTAAGCAAAATGACCTATAATGAAAACAGTTTTAGCACAGGCTAATTTATACAAACAAGAGTTAAGTTCCTAGGACATGGCATCAACTTTATAATGAAATAAGGTTGAAGAAGTCTGACTTCACGTGTACCAGCACCTAGACTTTTGCAATAACTTCTGTGGTAGGCACCCCCTGTCCAAGATGTCTATGTTCTAGTACCTGAAACTTGTGAATTTGTTACCTTAATGTGTTTAGGAGATTTTGAAAATATATTAAATTAAGGGTCTTGAGATAGGAAGATTATTCTGGACTTTCCAGGTGGGCCCAATGTAACCATCAGGCCCTTATAAGAGGGAGGTGGGAGAATCAGAGTCAGGAGTGGACATGATAATGGAACCAAGAGGTTCTAATGATGTGAGGAAGGGGCCACGAGTCAGGGAATATGGGTGACTTCTACAAGGGCAAGGAGACCTCTTTTCCTCTGAGATTCCAGCTAGAACACAGTCCTACAGAAACACTGACTTTAGATATCTCACCTCCAGATTTGTAAAAGAATAAATTTATGTGTTTTTTAATCCTCCCCTGAGGATATATTTACTGATTTTAGAGAGAGAGTGAGGGTGGGAGGGAGAGGCGGGGAGGAAGAGGAGAAGCATGCATGTGAGAGAGAAACACAGGTCGGCTGCCCCCTCTGTGCACCCGGCCTGATGGTGTCAAACCCACAACCTTTTGGTGGATGGGATGATGTTCCAACAAACAGAGCCACCAGCCACGGCTCATGTTGTTTTAAGCCTCTAAGTTTGTGGTGAAGAAAGCTAATGCAGTCATCTAATGGTCTCCCAGTTTCCTGTTCTGTCTCTCTACAGGGCATTCTCCACACCACAGACAGGCAGAGCTTTTAAAAAAGATCGTCACTGTCTAGTTTAAAGCTTAACGAGAATCCAAACTTACCACGGCCATAGGCCCTATGTGACTCCCCCTCCAAGCTGTCCATACTCCTTCACTCCTCTTTGCTGGTGCCCTCTCCACTCCCACCCGCAAGCCCCAGCCTTGTGGAAACAGGACAGCCTGTTTCCCTTTTGGGACCTTTGTTCTAGCCATTCATTCCCTGCTGTCCGTCCCCATTCAGATCAAAGTTTTCTGACCTAAACTAGTTAGTTTCCTCGCTACTGTCATTTTTATCACCCTGTTTACTTGTCTTCACAGTACTCATTATCTGGAGCTATACTTCCTACTTTGTTTTGTTGTTTATTTCACTTCTTCTTTAATCCAAGTTCCAGGAAACCAGGAATGTAGCTTGCCTTGCATTCTGCTGTATATTACAACACAGGCTAAGAAGCTCTTAGTAAAAGGCCATTGCACGATAGAATGCTTGACTTTACAAAGGACCTAGGGATCAAGTTGGCTACTGGCATAGCAGGGCCTCAAACAGCAACCGGTCTCTCACTGAATTCAGAGGTAACACTGAGATTGGATTCCGGTCCCTCTTGCTAGAGGCCCTTCAGCCTGGTCAGAGAAGAGGGAGAATTCAGAAACTATGAGAATTTATAATATCGATGATAAAAATAGTAACATTTAATGCCTGGACTTTCTATGTGCCAGGTATTGTTCGAGGTATTTATCGTTGCCTGATGTACGCACTTAAACCACAACCCAGGCTCGCGCTGAGAGGGAATCCAACCGGCGACCTTTTACTTTGCGGGAGTGCGCCCAACCAAGTGAGCCACACCAGCCAAAGCTAGACTGAGGGGAGTTCTGATGGGTGAAATCCCCGACAGCCAAAAGCCCTTAGGATCGGGCCATTCACTGGACCGGACGGGACAACCCAGAGCGCAGGCGCATGGCAGGAGGGGCGGGGAGGAGCGAAGGTAGGTTTGAAGGAATAGAGTTGATGTCTAAAAACGGAAGTCCCACCTCCAGCCCGACCGGAACTTCCGGCTCCGATTGCTTGGGTCTTAGGTTGACGGGGTGGGGCCGGCGGAGTCGGGATGGTTCTGCTGGAGAGTGAGCAGGTATGGTTAGAGTTGGCACGCCGAGGCAGGGATGTAGTTCCGGGTTTAGTTCGGGACCTTTGTTTTCCTTGGTGGGTGGGATTGGGACCTGGCGAGGTGGGGGTTTGGGGCTGCCTAACGGGGCCGGATTTGTTGTGTTTCAGTTCCTGACGGAGCTAACCAGGCTCTTTCAGAAGTGCCGATTGTCGGGCAGCGTGTTCATCACCCTGAAGAAGTGTAAGCAGCTGTAGACTCGGCAAGGCCGGAAGGAAGCTGGGAGGCCGAGCGATGCCCCAGCTTGGGTGCCCAGAGTCTGGAAACCCGGAGCTGAGTCTGCGGCGCCTCCCCGCCTTCCCTTACTTTTCTCCACCTTGTACTGGGCACAGTCAGGGCTGAGAGACCGAAGAACGTTAGGGGCTGTGGCGGGTGCTGCCCCTAGCACTTAACTGTTTAACACGGTTCCGCTTAACGTGGGCCCCAGTGTGTCATGGCTCTTCCCCTTGTCAAGGATCCCAAACCTCTATTAGTGGGATTTAATCTGCTTTGATATTACAGTATTCCTGTCGTGGAAGTAGCAAGTAGTTGCCCAAATTTTGGCCAAACTGTCGACAGTGGTGGATGAGGTGCTTAACAGAACTAGAGCAATGCAGGTGGATTAGGTGTCCTGTTTTTTTCCTTCCCTAATTATTCACATTTGAACTACTCATTAACAACGTCTGTGGCTGTGTTCATCGGGATGTTTTTCATGCAGATGATGGCCGAACTAAACCCATCCCGAGGAAAGGTTCTGTGGAGGGCTTTGAGCCCTCAGACAACAAGTGTCTGTTAAGAGCTACTGATGGGAAAAAGAAGATCAGCACAGTGGTGAGTTGGGTTCCTAACACTATGGTTTTTGAGTTTAAACAAACACTAATTTAGCACGTGGCATATCCGAACCGTGTTTTGTTTTTGTCTTAAATAAAGGCTACTTATTGTGTAGCTCCCCAGATGTTTTGGGATCAGGGCTCTTTAAAAAAATTATTATTATTACCTTAGTAGTAGAAAACTCAAGAGTGAAATTAAGTCAAACACTTGTTCTAAGTTTTTTTTTTGGAAATAAAATTTGCATATTGTTCCTTACTCTTAGTAGAACTGTAAGGAACAGTTGGCATAAGTATATAATTACTTACACCCTTAGTCTGCTGTGCTGGGCCTTACATGAACAATTTCTTGTCACCAGATGATGCTTTTAAGTTGATTATTCCTTTTCTTTGTGGTCCATGTAGTAAACACGTGGCTATATGTAGGCTTGATACTTGTGAGAATATAAATTTAGTCAAGAGCTCTAGTATTCCCTTTCAAGGTGGAGGTGGAATATGGCAAAGCAAGAGATTCCCTGAATTCCAAACAAATACAGGCTTACCTCTTTTTATTGCACATTGCTTTATCATGCTGCCAGGTGTTGAGTTTCTTACAAACTGAAGGCAAGACTGTCCACTAGGGAAAAGGTGGTAACTTGCTTTATTGCGATACTCGCTTTACTGCATGGTCTTAAACCAAACTCACCAATGTTTCTGAGGTGTGGCTGTGCTACTTCATTCTGCTGGGCAGAGGTGGAATGCCCTCCAGCCACATCAGTATAGGATGTTTGTGAGATAGAAGATCGTAATTAGTTGATGCCTCCCTTTACCAGTTATCTCGAGAGGACATTTACAGTCAAGTTTAAGTGGTTTTTAAAAATACAGTTGGGTATCATGAAATACAGAAACCTAAGGAGTTTTTAGAGGTAGAATTGCTTGTTGTGGTAGCTTGCATTTTGCTTAAAATAGGCCTGAATTAATAGAAGGAGGCTTAGAATAAGATGCAGAGGGAATAGTTTAAATATATCTTGCATAAAAGATTGGCACTTGGTCCTCTGACACCTCTCAGAACCCCGGGAAGAAAAAGTCAGTGCCTTGTGTGAATGGGATTCCAGTGGAGGTGAGCAGCGTGCCCACTCCTGCCTCTTTCCCATCTTCGTACAACTCTCATGTGGGAAAGAGTCCAGAGCTACTCTGCTTGTTCCCCAGGCAGAGGAAAGTGCAGTAGAAAAATACCTTAGTGTATCATGATCTTGAAGTTGGGAAGAAATATTTTAACAATTGGGATATTGTTTTTGTGAAGCTTTTGAGTTACTGTCTAAGGTGAGGCAGGGGATTCCTATATGGATACTTGGGGTGACCTTCTTTCCCCTCTCCTTTTACAGGTGAGCTCCAAAGAAGTGAATAAGTTTCAGATGGTGAGTTTCTGTTGTTCCCTATGTTCCCTTTCCCAGGGCAAGCGTCAGCATAATGTCGAACACTGGGTTAAAATCGATATTTAGGTTCACTGCTCTCCTATGATGTTTTACCAGTAGTTTATGAGCGTATAGCTGCGAGGCTATGAACTTTACTTTCAACACTGGTACTGTCTTCCTTTCTAGTTTTTGTTTTTAAGATTTTATTTATTTTTAGACAGAGGGGAAGGGAGGAAGAGAGGGAGAGAAACATCAATGTGTGGTTGCTTCTTGCACGCCCCGCACTGGAGACCCAGCCCATAACCCAGGCATGTGCCCTGACTGGGAATCAAACAGGTTGCCCTTTCTTTCCGGTCTGCAGGCCGGCACTCAGCTCATTGAGCCACATCAGCCAGGGCTGTTCCTTTTTAGTTTTCATAAGCTAGATTTTGCCATCTTAGGCTTCAGATATGCTCTACCTATAGTAAAGTTGAACAAGAAGTTGCCCACATTTACTCACTCGTGCTTAAAAATAAACGTGCAACTCAATGCAAGTGAGTGTTGCAGACACTGCTCTAATGTGAAAGTATTTCTTCATATACCATTTTCCTTCAGGTACACGAGTCCCATGATACTGTCTGCTTTATCAGGTAGACTCTGATTTTTGGCAACACTAAATCCATTATGGAAATGGGGCAGCTGTTCCACCAATTTGCACCTCTTCCCACTAAGGTTGTGCTCTGTATCTTTTAGGCTTATTCAAACCTGTTGAGAGCTAACATGGATGGGCTGAAGAAGAGGGACAAAAAGAGCAAGAGTAAGAAGAGCAAAGCAGCACAGTGAAGAGTACGATTCCCTGTTTTCACCAACTGACCACTGAATTGCTATTTTTCCTCTGGTTTTTACTTTTGGCCACAAAGCTAGGTTTCTAACTCCCCTGCGTTAACTGTTTTCATGTGAGATTAGGGTCATTCGGATGGAAGAAGAGCTGTGATGTTTACAGTGTGGCTGTGAGAAGCCACTTTACTTTTAGCCTGGCTGACTAGTCTGTGTTGCAGAGCTGTGTACCCCCGGGTTATGTTTAAAGTCTCTGCAGCCACCTGCGTGAAGAGCAACGTATTATTAAACCTGCCTATTTATCAGCATAGACTATCTTTTATTTATTCCTTTCCCTTCCCCATGGTGGTAGTTTCTAACAATAATTACTGATTCTGGAATGATAATGATTATGAGCAGGCTTTTACCCCAATCTTCTAGGTTATTGGAGTTAAAACCGGAAAATTTCATTAGAAGTTGTGTTAGCTCATGGGTATTCTTCCCAACTGGTTAATCATCATAGTACCTTTAGTAAATTTGCATGAGTTCTCATAGTCAAATGAGAATTTGCCTAAGCACCTTTGGATAAACATATTACAAAATTAAGGATAAAGATTGTAAGTTAATGATATTTGATTGTGCCCTTCAGTTTGGACATTTTCATGTGCTCAGTAGGGTTAAGGTAAGAAGAACAAGGCTGTTTTTTTCCTCTCCTAGCTCCACAAAACCTTTAGTGTCAATACCTTTGCAATTAAAAAGCAGCAAATATATGAAAGCATTTATTATACTCAAAAAGATAAATTTATATATGTATATAACACATGAAAAACAAAGCTCCACTTTGTGAAACATCTAAGAATGTAAAGTTACAATGAATGTACAACATTTTATAGTGTAAGCTCCTGTCTGCACGATGCAATGACTCCTTCAGGATCAGAATAAGATTCTGTAGTAGTCATCTCTGTAGCTGTACAGGAACAGCACAGACACCCTGCAAAAGAAAGGAAAAGGCAGGGTCAGTATAACGGGTGAAGAACAAGGTTAATGAAGAATTATTTTCAGAGTAAAAGAGATGGAAGGCTAGGCACTGAAGCATTACACAAGTTTCACAAAGGCTGTGAACTGGCTAGGGTCTGTAGCAAAGGTCTTAGAGAGGGGCCACCTGCCGTTGCCTTTAGGGGAGGATCACAGGAACAAGTGGCCTGGGACATGAGGACAAAGCAAGACTGTCACAGCTGTTTTTAAATATTTAAACATTTCTAGGAGTTACCTGGGTGATTAATAATGGGGACAGTTTTCCCTGGGGCCTGTTTTGTTACTGACAAGACTGGCTGTGACACAGTTCTGAGGAAGATTAAGTGGTTACCATTGCAGTTCTAATATAACAGCTTATCAGCCACCAAATCTCAACAGGACAGGACAGTATGAGGAGGGGACTCAAAAAACATTTATTTATAAAAACTGTGTATTACATGTTTAAACTTCAGTCACCTTCAAAGTACTCTCCATTTGATGCAATACACCTACTGCAACTTTTCCACTGCTCAGTTTTGCACTCATTGATTTTGATGCCTGTTAGTGCTTCTGGGGTTTTTTGTTTCACCTTGTCTACACTGGCAGGACATTTCCCCTTGAGGACATTTTTCATCCAGGTAAACAAAAAGTCACTTGGGGCGGGATTGGGTGAATAGGGAGGGTGAGGCATAGGGGTCATGATGTTTTTGGTCAAAAACTGCTGAATATCACTCTGTGTGGGCAGGTGAGCTTGTGAATCACCCATAATGAAATGGGCAAATGTATTGACAAGAGTCTTCAAAAAAATTCTTCACTGAAGCCAAGCACAGCCTCTCACACCACCACCAGCTGGGACACTGATACAGATGGGTTCCCAGAACACTCAGTCACCTGGCAGGGGAAACCTGTACCACAAGGAGCCCGCCTCCAGAAGATAATTCCGGGGTTTTTTGGGGTTCCCCCCTTGTATACTATGTCACTTTAAAATCCTTAAGTTTTAATCCGTTTTGAAATCTGTGATGCCTAAGTGATAACTTACTTTTTTTCTACTTTGATGTTATAAATTTCATCACAGACCAATTTCAGGTATCTTTGCTTTGGCAGGCGTGACAGCAGCTGCTTCACGGTTGTGTCAAATGCCTGTTCATCAGCATCCCACTAGGAAAAAACAGATCAGGCTTAACAACAGGTACTAGGGTTTACTAACTGGCTTGTTTTTGGGTCAGTAATGAAAGGCTAATGCCATTCCCCACTTTAACTATAGTGAAGAAATCATTCTAGGGGGAGACACTAGGACTGGTGGGGCAACTGATGGGGTTCCTCCTTTGAAACATCAGTTTTCTTTACAACAGACTACCTTATTAGATCCTGGTTAACAATATTGCAGCCACACTGTGCTGATGTGACTTTAGACCAGTTATTTCTACCTATTGTTTACTTTGTGTAAAATGGACATACCACCTCTGATGTGATTCCATTTGAATGGTTCATAAAGCAATACAATGTCAGTATAGTGGTATTTACAAGACAACACAGAAAATGCAGTATGAAATGTTACTTCTGGGACAAGGTTCACTTTTCATCTGATTTAATCTGTGACTAAACACTCTGGATAGACAAAGTATTCTTTGAAGTGACATGTTGCAAAAATCACCTATAGCTAAGATTAAGCTATTAAGCATTCTTTAAATTTTTAAAAATATTTTTTTAATTTATTTTTAGACAGAGGGGAAGGGTGGGAGACGGAGAGAAACATCAATGTGTGGTTGCCTCTCATGCACCCCCTACTGGGGACCTGGCCCACAACCCAGGCATGTGCCCTAGACCAGGAATTGAGCCAGTGATCCTTTGGTTCCCAGGCCTGCACTCAATCTACTGAGTCACACCAGCCAGGACACTTTCCTTTTTTTTTTTTTTTTAAAGCTTTTATGTACTTATTTTTGCAGAGAGGGGAAGGGATAGAGAAAGAGAGGGAGAGAAACATCAATGTGTGGTTGCCTCTCATATGCCCTCCACTGGGGACCTGGCCTGCAACCCAGGCATGTGGCCTGACTGGGAATCAAAGTTACTAAGCATTCTTAATAACAAAGGTTTAACTATTCAAATTTTTAAAAGTTCTTATTTGGTTACTTGATAATTGGGGTATGTACCTGTAAAAAATAAAATATGACAATTAAATTAACTTACTTTTTACAAAAAGATCTTCCATATAGTTACATAAATGAGCTTTCCTGGTTGGAATGAAGGTTTGCAACAGCAGAGCATGTACAGTTGTTTTTTTTTCTTTTTTTTGGAGAGAAGCATCAATGTGTGGTTGCCTCTCCCATTCCCCCTACTGGGGACCTGGCCTGCAACCCAGGCATGTGCCCTGACTGGGAACTGAACTGGCAACCCTTTGGTTCGCAGGCTAGCGTTCAATCCACTGAGTCACACTAGCCAGGGTAGAGCATGTATAATTTTTAAGAACCTATATGCTACTACATTGCCTAGGTTCAAATCCTGGTTCTGCTACTTAATAGTTGGTTGACTTTGAGTAAGATATTTAACCTTTCTACTTTTGTTTTCTGTAAAATGGGGATAATAACAACAGTACCTCTCTCTTAAGGTTGTTTTGATTAAATTATTTTAATAATTATAAAATGCTTAGGACAAGGCCTGCCTGAGCCTGACACTGAATAAAAGCACTAGGTATTTGTTAAATAATCTCTGAAATTTAGAAGATAGTTACTAGAAAAGTATTATTCCTTCAATCTGATTTAGTAATATACCTAATTTTTTGGACTGTAAGATGCACCAGACCAAAGACACACCTAGGTTTTAGAGGAGGAAAATAGGAAAAAAAAATTTGAAGTGAAAAATGTGGTAAAATATTTAATAACATAAATAACATAGGCCGTCCCCACCCCCCAGCGAGCCAGGTAAGTTACATTTGGACTATAAGATGCACCCCCTTTCCCTTCTAAATTTTTTGGGGAAAGTGTGTCTTATAGTCTGAAAACTATATGTCACATGAAGGAACAATGTTACCAAATTTCTGGAACTGCCATTAGAAATACCTAATATTACTGAGAAAATAATGCCATTTTCAGTTTTCTTTTGGCAGAGCCTTGGGACTTTAAAAGCCATAATGCAGAAGAGTTCATTTTGCTTACCTCCAATGATAAAAACTGTAAGATTGTTTCTTTGGGGAGATCCACCTGTTAGTACATAAAAATGCATGTCACCTGACAGGGAACCCACAGTGGCACATAATGATGACTTATGGTGATGTCATCACTTCGAGGGAGCAACATGATCAGGGCTGGCAGATTCTGGGGAGCCACTGTGTGAGCCATGAAGCAGACTCAGTGGACTGTGCATGGACAAGGGCTCAGCCCCGGTGAACCGACACTCCTCGTTCCCAAACCACACGCGCTCCAAAGGCCTCAAACGTTTAAAAAATGATCTTTGTTTTCACTCCCCCCTCATCTTGCACAGGAAGACAGTAAGAGAAACAAACATAAAACCTTCCATTTTCTCCCCAGTTCTTTACAGATTTAAATTCCATGTGGTTCCCATCAGTGGTAATAGGCTTGCACCCCAAAGCGGCTGACACTGGGTGAAAAAGCCCTGACCTCTGAGGGAGCTACTTTGACAGTCTGGGCGGAAGCCATCCTCAAAGTGTTAAAGAAAGCAACTTACAGCCAAAATTTCAATTTCACTGCTTTTCTGATGTAAGTTGGCAAGGGACGTCTGAAGTCGGGTTTGTACCTAACAAGAAATCATGTCGGAATTCAGAACCTGTCAGATCAAGCCATTGTTCTTGTCATTTTATCTTCTATCCCAGGAAATAATTACAGATGACAAACCAAAGCCTAGAAGGGATCCCAAATATTACCCTAGGACTTGCTCTTAATCCACCTCAGAAAGATGTATGTGTATCCTATTATGATCTCAGGGGCAATGAGATTTCATAGTTTATCCTTATACTTTGTTTAATAATTCACGTAGTTGCTTATTTCTGTATAATGTTGAGACGATGCCCAGGAAAGGCCCAGAGCAGTGGCCCTGCGCCAGGAAGCAGGGAGATTTCCGTGCCAGGCGAGGTTTGGGAAAGGGGAAGGCGACAGCAGTGAAAACATGGGACTGAAATATGGTAGAAAGCTGTGAAAAATAAGTTGCCACGAAAATCCTGAGACACGGCAGAGCTTACAAAAATGAGGTAATCTGATCTTTCGTATCTCAAATTACATTTCTGAAAAATGGCCACTCTCCAGCACTCCTCTCTTCCCAGGCGAGGCCAGTGTCCACCGTGCTCATCGGCTCCGTCCCT